AGAATGCCACCCCATTGCCAAGGGAGATCGTTTTAATGACCAAATGAGGAAATGGAGCCCAGAAATAAATCATGACACACAGAAGCTTAAGGGTCTATGAAATAACTACAAAAATTGATATTCATGTAGAAATGATACATTTTTGTTAAGAATTTTTTTTATCACATTACTAGAGGTAGGAGGTTATATATGTGTGTGCACATATGAATATATACAAGGTCTGACAATTAAGTTTGTAAACACATCCGAGAAAAAACACTACTGAATTGCTGAATATCACTGCAGTCTCCAGATGGACATGGGGGGTACCTCGAAGGTGATATAGTGATATTCAGCAGTGAGGTATGTAGCACTTTTTCTGGGATGAGTTCACAAATTTAATCATCTTACCTCATTAATATTAATCCTCATTAATTTTTAATAACGGAAAGGAATATTTTTCCAAATAATTTTATTATCGTTCTGATCCATTCCTCATATTTGCTCCTATTCCTTGATCAGTTATGCATCCATACACATACACATCCTGGCACACATAGACTTAGAATGATGACAGATGTTTTCAGTAGCAGAGGGTATCACTAGATCCATTATGTTCTTGGCATATTTAACTTTAAAATGCAATTGCCTCTTAAAGATTTGAAATAAATGCTTTCTTTGTTGTTAATGTTTTATGTGCAGTCCAAAAGTTAAAATATTATTTGAAAACATGGGCCAGTTCACACTCTCCCTTCAAATGTATAGAGAGAAGTACAGTCCCTTCTAGAATTACCTTTTATTTTATATTATGTGAAGTAAATCATTGAGTATTGTTTTAAGGTAATTATTTGGTGGAAATTGAGCCCCTACTAGGAGAATGTGTGAGCTTAGGTGTTTTAACCAGCCATGAAAAACAGAGACCACAGGCCAAGGCTACCTGGAGTAGGGGGTAGGGGGTGGATCAGATTGGGTATCCAGCTAAGTACATGTGCTGAGTATACCATGCCAGGCGTGGAATCAGCCCAGACATGGAGATGGGAGGAAGAAGCAAGTCCGGTCAGCTGGAGAGAGAGGACCCAGGGAGAGGACACTGCACCCCGTTTCACCCTGCATTTTCTATTATATGTAACTCTGTGTCTACACATGTTAATTATGCCTCCTTTGTGCCATTGGATTCCGGGTAAACTTTCAATCCAATATGTGCAATTAACCAGGTGATCTGTTTTTTCTTTTTATATAGAAATAATTCTTCAGAAGCATATAGTATTTCTACGTAGAAAACTTCTATTATCGAAATTATAAAAAGACACCTGTCTGTATGTATTGCAAAATTGTTATGAATGATTTTTTTTATTTGTTTAGGTATTCCTTCTGTTATAACTACAGTTATTGTCTTTCTAGGGACGTCAGTACACCACACGCAAATTCAGTTTGTTCTGGGGGTTCAGAAGGATTGTAGCAAACTGCTGGCCCATTGAGGGCACATGTATCTGATATTGGGGGTTAATATATGCAAGTACCTTTGGGCTTTCCTGTATATTCATAATAAGAGGAAACCAATAACACAATTTTGACCATTTGTCTAGTTTGGGTTACCAGCAAGATAATTTTGAATTTTAAAATTATTCTGTGAACAGGGGTAGATGTAGGTTTCCTTAGGTTGAAGCTTATATAATTCTAGGGATGCTCGTTAAGAAACAACTTTAGTAAAAACTACAAGTGCAAACTAGATGTGCACACTAATGCACATTCGTGAGAAAGAAGCTGATATTTACAAGTTCTGAAAAACTCATCAACAAAAGTACATTTTAAAATTCATCTTGGTTTGGTTTTAAATGAAATTCAATAAAAAAAAAAAATACTTGGCATTTGTCAACTGAGATGTAAGCACCAAAGTCATTGTTTCATAAAAATCAAAGTACAGATATCCGTTTCGCATGCAGAGATTGGGTTTCCAAGATGTGACACCTGGGAAAATTTATGTTGAACTCCATAATTGGTGCACAGATGTTATTTTCTAAGAATGCTTGTGATTACAAAAGCAACTGAAGTCTGGACCCAAATTATGCCTTTTGCTATCTTAAACCAGAGGGGTTCAATTCTTCTTTTCAGATATAATTTGAAAATTTTAAATTCTGCTTCCTTTTTGACCTGACAATAAGCTAGGAGGCAGAAAGTCAATTCTAACAGTGACTCAACGATCATATTCAGCTGGAAAGCCTCACAGATTTTATACACAAATGAGACAGCATGGATGTAGGTGTTCTATTTTCGTTGTGTATAACCATTGCCAATATTTCTCTGCAATACATACAAGACATTCAATACTTAGAAGGAGTTTTAAACATTTTTTAAAGTAAAGCAAAATTGGCGTTTTGGAAACATTTTGTGATATATATTGAGTTGTATACATGCAAATTTTGTGGGTTCATTAAATATTAAGTGGACACGGCCAACATCTATGGAACATACTGAGTTCGCTTACATTCTTTTAGTAAGAGCCACTGAGTTTTGAAAATAATTATTTCAGTGTTTTATTTAATGAACCAGGACATGATATATTTCACTATTTGGCCCCCCAGTAATATTGAAGTTCTCTGATAGACTTGTACGATGCAATGTTGTTTTTGTCAGATCACTTAACAATAATTATCTGTCACTCTGATAAATGTCAGAGTGATTTTAAAGAAACCATTTTTATATATCTTAATTCTAAAATGCCATTATGTGTTAGAAACATGTCCTAGTTGCAATGCTCTTAAAATAAACTTTCCAAGAAGTAGAGGCAGGTGGAGGAATCTGTACCTTGTGTTGTTTAAACCCACAAGTGTTTGGGTTTCTTTTTACCCTTTTAAAAATAATAAATCCAAATATCCTTCTATTTCGTTCAATTGTTATTTTTGGAAATTTAAGCAAAATCATCTTTCCAGTATTTTTTTGTTTATTTTGTTGCTGATACACATCTTTTTAATTAAAAATAAGACAATCCTTTGTACTTTTGGAGATTTCCTTTTAAGCTGCATGTTTGTATGACCTATTGAAATAATAATTAAAAAATGTATACATAGAGACAAGTCCCAAAACTATACCGACTGGCTCCTCGATCCTCTTTCTCCCGGGGAGCACATTCTTGGTTCTTGTACTTCTATTTTTTTATATATCTCTTATGACTCCTGATTTGAATTTTTTTAATTTTAAAATTATGCCTTAAACAGCAAAGATTCAATACATCTACTTCTGTGTCTACAGATAAAATACGTTTTCATGTTTTGGTTTATATGCTTCAGAGATCGGGTCAGCAAAAGGAACCCTATGTAGCATAAACAACCAAATGATTGCATTAGGTGGTTTTCAAAATGTGCTGCTGGCACAGGCAGGCGGAGTAATTTTTGTGAAGTTCATCACATCTTAGACTTATAAATAACCAAGGTGAGAGAAAGTGGTTATATGGACCACTTGGAGGTTTCAACTTTCCTTTCCCTAAAACTATTTAGCAAAGAAAATCATCAAGCTTTTCAATATCATGTTCAAAGCACTATTATTATTGTTGTTTGTAATAAACTTTATTTTGAAATAATTGTAGATTTACAGAGAGGTGGAAACTATAGCACCGAGAGCTCCTGTCCACCCTTCCCCCCATTTGAGTTTCCCCTATTGTCAACGTTTTATGTTGCTATCACATACTTGTCAAAACAGAGAAACCAACACGGGTCTCTGACTATTAACTAAACCCCACGCTTGCTTCAAATTTCCCCACTATTTCCATGAACGTCCTCTTTCTGGTCCAGGATCTGATTCAGGGTACCACATCTCGTTCACTTGTCATAGCTCCTTGGATTCCCTCAGTCCGTGACAATCTCTTAGTCCTTCTTTTGGTTTCCATGATCTTGACGTTTTTTGAGGAGAACTGAAGGTGGATTTATTTTTTTGATAGTTCAAGAACTTTATTTTCAGCTGTATTAATGTTTATTATGAAAGCAAGTAACTACAGAAGTGCATGCATACACGTTTGTGATATTCACGCAGCATGAATGCAATGTATGAAGGCTGGATTATAGGACTCAGGACCGCTTAAGGTCAGGATGAGGAAGAGTGATTGGCAATTTTAAATGTACTTGAGACCGAAGTGATTTCGGAAGCTATCTGTAGCCAAAACACCAGATAGCTTGAGGAAAGTTTGGATACAGCTTTACATCTTAATTCCCTATTTTCAGTTACTTCTATAGTCGGCAGTTAAGTTAGGAACTCTTGAACCTTTGCCAGTGATCCAAAGGGGTGGATTTTCCATTGTCTTCATGCCGAAAGGGCTGGACGCAAAGAGCCAAGTAAAATGCACAGAGCTGAAAATTCAAAGTGCATAATTTGAGGTTGCACTGCTTTCAAAACTTTAGAAGTCTCTGCCTGCCAAGAAAAGAAGTTGAAGCATTGCACTTCTATTTCTAAAGAGAAGGGAAGCCAATCCCTATAAGACATATGTCTTTATTTACTCAAACATAAATCAAATGGTCCAGGAACTTGTGCAAGTAAATCGGATTCCATTTGTATGTTTTTCCTGACACATAAATCTAGCTGCACTCAGAATGGCATGAATAATGCAGGAACTGCACTCCCCGAGTGAATAATCTTTCACTGAAAATCCAGGACTGATGGTTTACCTTATAGAAATGGGCCTGGCACCGCAAAAATAAATGCAGGAAAACACACACACCATCTATGTGGATCTGTATTGCCCTTGCTGGATTTTTAGGTTCTGACATGCATGAACGTAGTGGTATACCAGAGATGAGTTTTCTAATTTAATGCATTAAATAGTATTCATAATCATCATCATAAATTTTAGTCACCATCATTATTACTGATTCTTTTATGATGAGTACACTAGTCACGGCAACCCAGTGAGATGAATACTACTATTATCAGGTTAAGATGGAAAAGATGAGGGACTGGGAATTTTCATAACTTCTGGTCTATCTGACTCCAGAGGTATAGACTTAACTAAACACTGTTCCTTTTTTTAACCCCCCAAGATGGATAACGTGCAGACTACCTTGGAACAGTTGAGGAAGGAACATCTCACACAAGCGTGTTAACACCCAATCATCACACTTGCACAGACTACAAAAGAATCAACACTATTCCTCACGGCAGTGAGATAGAAGATCCTGAATGCACAACATGCTGATGGTTTGAGAAGTTCCATTCTCATGATGTGAATTTTGAAAATGAGCCACGTGGGTGACCTGAGACCAAGGTGGACAATGATGAGCTGAAAGCTGCAGTGGAGGCAAATCCATCCCAACCCCCGTGTGAGTTAGAAGCAAGGGCTGATGCTACCATTCCAGCAATGTTGAAGGGTTTGAAACAAACTGGCAAGGTAAAGAAGCTGCAGGAATTAAACAAGTGTCAGAAGAAACATCTTCCCCAAGGTTGCCATTCTTTACTATCACGACATAAAGCTGAACAATTTCTGGACTCTACTGTTATGTGTGATAAAAAATCGTTCCTTTTTGACAAACAGAAGTGTGTGCCACAATAGAGTTATAAAGATGAAGTCCCCAAACATAATACAAAACCAAACATCTATTCAAAAAGAAAAAAGAAAAACAGAGCTCCTGGCGTCTGTTTAGTGGTTCAGCACTAGAACTCCGACTACAACTTCAAGAAACCTGTCCAATCTATTTGATAAGAAGGTGTTTACTGCAACCCATTGGACGAAATGATGAGGATGCTTGCTACTGAGCAGCCGAGATTGCTCAACAGAGAGCAATCCGGCCGATCCTCTTGCAAGATAACTCTTGGCCATATGTGTTGCATCAACCACACTGCTCAGACTCTAGAAGCTGCACATGGAAACTCCATGATCCACTGTAGTCAAACCGTGCAATAACCAACTACCATTTCTTCCTGGCTTTGGACCACTTATTTTTTTTTAAGTTTATTTTACTTTTTTCTCTTTATTTAATCATGATTGTGTACATTAATGCATTTATGGGATACAATGTGCTAAATTGATAAACCATGTGGAATGCTTACATCGAACTGATTAACGTAACCATCATCTCACTTGCTTACCGGTTGTGCTGACGACATGTATACTCTATTCTTAATAGTTTCAAAATGTACCCTGTTATTATGCACCTTAGGTGAGGTCCCACCAAACACCCTCCCTCCTCCCCTCCTCTCTCCCTTCTCTTCCCTCCTTCTTTCTGAACTATAGTTGCATTTCATCATTTGTTTGAATGTGTAGGTGATTATAATGGACCCTTTCTTCCAAGGGAAAATATTCAATTCTCAACAAGCAGTGGAAAGTGCCTTTTGGGATTTCATCACCCCTCCAGGCTTCCTCGCTGCAGGCATACACAAGCTACTGTTCAGATGGCAAAACTGGTCCATAGTTTAGTCGCATACTTTGATTGATCGTGCTGCTTCTCGTATGAGATAAATGAATCAAACTCTTGATTCACAATTGGGCATTTCATATTTAATAAAAAATAGTCAACTTAGTTTGTGGGATTTTAAAATATGTATTGTACTTCAATTGTTGGAGATTCAAGAATAAATAAGATACCCAGTTCCCAAGCTCATAGAGTTTATATTTTGTCAAGAATGCTCAGATAGCAAACAAATTATTGCATAATTAATGTTTAATTACAGGTATAATAGGTGCTAAAACACAAGAAATGTAGGAAAGTAGGTGATCCTCAGGGAGTAGGTACATGAAAGACTTACCCCCAAAGGCTGTGGGAACTGTGAGGCTGAAGAAAGGGGGTGAAAATTTCAATTTCTTAGAAAGAAACTCTTAATAGGAATTAGTGAACAGAAGTCTTGGGCAGCCATGAGGTGGTAGATCCCTGAGCCCACCCTCCAGAAACTAACCTCTATTTATCAAGCTGTTTTTTCGTAAACCAAGCAGTTGGTCATGTCTCAGATCCTCTTGTGAAACTTGTGACCACTGGGTAAGTTAGATAAGCAACTTTATGTGGGGTTATCTCTGTGGCAGGCATTCATAGAAAAGCTTGGGAACTGTGTGTCTTACTATTTATTCTTGAATCTCCAGCAATTAGAATATAATACATATTTTAAATACCCACATCTATTATTGACTATTGTTTATTAAATAAGAAATGCCTGATTTCTAATCACATGTTCTATCTGGGGCAGTGAGGCAAGAAAAAGAAAGAAAAGGCACCCAGATTATTTGGGAAGAAGAAAATCTCTATTTACAGATAATAGGAATTTATATACAGATAATCCTCATAATCATACACCAAGAGGTTCATACACAAGTAAGAGCTAAAAAAGCAAGTGCTGGGGCAGCACCTGTGGCTCAGTGGGTAGGGTGCCAGCCCCATATACCGAGGGTGGTGGGTTCAAATCCGGCCCCTGCCAAACTGCAACCAAAAAAATAGCCAGGTATTGTGGCAGGCACCCAGCTAGTCGGGAGGCTGAGGCAAGAGAATGGCCTAAGTCCAGGAGTTGGAGGTTGTTGTGAGCTGTGTGACACCACAGCACTCAACTGAGGGAGATAAAGTGAGATTCTGTCTCTACAAAAAAAAAAAAAATAATAAAGTGCCACATTTGATTTAAAAAATGACCAAATACAAGGTTTGTATCAGGGCAAAGTATGTGGGAATCGGAGTTCCTAAATATTTTTGGAGGACTTTTGAATGTCTCAGATTTCCACTTTACATACAGTCTCGATATTTTATTAAAGTCAACTGTCAACACAACTGATTTCCCAGTTTCTATCAGGAAACTGTTCCCAGAGTTCCTGATCACTGTCTGAAGTTTTTCTCATTTTGATTTTATTTACCTGTTTTTTCCAATGTGTGCAGTAAATAGGTCAAACTTAAGATGTTAAAGCTGTCAGTACTGAAACTCCACCCCCTTTCATCAGTTCCTTTAACCAATGGAACCAATTCTGCCTCCAACCAAAGGAAATACCAGTCACATTTTCCCTCCAATTCTAATGCTAAGTAGTTATCTAGAAGTTCCCCAGAATCTATTGGTGGGAGTTGCCAAAGATGTTTGTGTTCAAGCTAATCACATAGTAATGGAACTTAAGGAAGCATATGAATTAATAAAAACTCCAAGTTTCATCGCATGATATTAGATGTTTTCCAGAGTTGGCTGTCTGTAGAAAGGAGACAACACTGTGAAGGGTCCAAAGGAGCTGAGATCTATAGATTGAGCTTCTGAGAATTAGAAGAGCCAAACTCCTGTGTATTTAGATCGCCAAAGTGTGTGCTTTGATACGAGGCTGGGACAGAGGGGAGAAATTGGGCTAATTATCCCAAATTGGAAGTTATTACCTGGATGGTGGTCATTAATTCCATATGATTGGATGGGATACGAAACAGATACTATAACGTGATAAAAGAAGAGGACACAGGTCTTTAATCTTGAGAAATACCTACCTTTAAGGTGTGTGAAAGAAACAAAGAAATAGAAAATTGGTAGAGAAAGACAGATAACATTGCATCATAACATTTAGAAAGGCATGGTCCGACAGAGGAACCTTGATGTCATATTTTAGTATCAAATAACAGAAGGGACATGACCATTGTTGGATGTGGTGGCTCACACCTGTAATCCTAACACTCTGGGAGGCTAAAGCAGGTGGATAGCATGAACTCAGGAGTTTGCAACCAGCCTGAGCAAGAGAGAGATCCTTGTATTGTGGTGGCTAAGCTACTTGGGAGGCTGAGGCAGGAGGATAGCTTGAGCCCGAGGGTTTGAGATTGTTGTGAGTTATGATACCGTGGCACTCCAGCCTGGGTGACAGACTGAGACTCTGTCTAAAAAAATAAAATGAGAAAGAGAGAGAGAGAGAGAGAGAGAGAGAGAGAAGGGATATGGCTTTGAATGGTCTTCTAAATTGGTGACAATGGACAAGTTTAAATGCTACCCATGAGGCTCATCTTTCCTTCTCAGAGCCTACTGTTACTTTTAAATAAATGTTGAGATTGCCTCACGCTTCTGTTCAATTTCTAAAGTTCTGAAAAAGTGTGTTCTGACGATGTGCTCTCATTGCATTGTAGAGGAGAGAGTTTTTGAAGGTCCTTACTCTGCTTTGCCACTGACCTCTCCCCCATTTTTAGTTTTGCTCTCCTGAGCTCTTTATTCATCTTTTTAGACTCTTGTATTTAATCTGTCCTTCATCTGGAATCTGCAGCTGTAACCACGGTAACACTCTTTGCATTAATCCCTTCCCCTGTCTCATTTCAGGCCCTCATTAGTTGGATTAAATCATTAACTAATAGCGAGGTAGATTTGTGAGAACTTTGCTTTCACATGAGCTAAGAATGCTGAAAAACAACCCCAACGTTAAATTTTTTAAGTTTGTCATTTTGAAATTGATCTATTTCGAAAATTTATTTTGCAATTTCAAATTTATTTAGAAATAAATCCATGAACATTAGTCAGCAGCTAGATGTATGTGTTTTATCTTTTGCTTCCAATAAGGAACTCCAGCTTAGTTAGAATATTTGGGGAAAATAAAAGAGAATATGGGGGTGGCTTTTACAGATAATGTAAAGATTGGAGTACAAAAATGTCAAACACAAAAATACAGTTGCCTAATTTAGCAATACACTTAGACAATATTTTTCTATCACTGGGCTAAAAATGAAGAATATATATGAAACGATTATATTTAAATTATTCACAAACCATAAAGCAAAGAACTTCTATCATTTCCTATAAAAGGCAGTCAATTCCTGGTGCAAATTTATTTTAAGATTTTATTTTATCTTCAAGAAAAAATAGAGCCCCGTTTTGTGAAAGGTGGTAATGACTTTAGGAGGTAACAGGTCTGATGTTCAGGGGACAATTGTTATGTGTCACTGAAATTGCTTTGGCATTATTTCAGTGACTTCAAAATGATCACTTGTCATTGTGTCTCTAATGTAACTTTTGCTCCCTGAAATCTTTGCTGTTATGCCAACTAGCCTGCTATTTTTGGTTTTCTCTGTATGACCTATACAATAAATGCCTAATTAATAAATTCAAAACTGGGAAATACGGAGGTGCTTGTTGGTTACAACATCTTTGTATGAATAGAAATGTAAAGAGATGACCTATTTTGATATTTCAGCATCTGGCTGGTTATTGGTATGGACTAAGAT